TGCCCCCAGCGGCCGCGGGGCCGCTCGCGGGGCAGCCGCGCAAGAGCAGTTCATCCCGTCGCAACGCGTGGGGCAACCTGTCCTACGCCGACCTCATCACCAAAGCCATCGAGAGTTCGGCTGAGAAGCGGCTCACGCTGTCGCAGATCTACGAGTGGATGGTCAAGAGCGTGCCCTACTTCAAGGATAAAGGCGATAGCAACAGCTCGGCCGGCTGGAAGGTGAGTGGCCTCGGGGCGCACGGCCGGACCAGGAATTGGGGCGCGGGGACTTCTACCTGACCCTGAGGTCGCATTGGGGTAGTTGGGGCGGCAGTGCAAGTTTCCTTGTCCTGAAAGTGCGGGGCACGCGAGCAGCGCGTGCAGGGAGCAGGAGAGAAGTGGCAGATATGGGTGGTGGGCTTGTCTGGAAGCGGTTGGGGGACGGGAATAAGTGCGCGCGCTCAAGAGAGTAGGAGTGGGACGGGGAACAGGCTCGTTTGGAAACTAAGGGAGTGAAAAAAGTTCGCCAAGAAGTGGACATTAAAGCGGACAAAAAATTTCGCCAGTGAAAGGAGGAGATTCACTGGGAACTGCCCCTCCACGGCCCAAGCAGACACTTGCTGCTGCTCTTTTCCCTGAAGGACTTTGGGAGAGAGGGCGGCTCCTTTCCGCCCCCCGCGGCGCGCGTCCCCGCATCCTTGGGCCGCGCGGGGTAGCCGTTTCCGCTGCGCTTGGCCAGGGTGGGCGCGGCCAGGGGCATCCGAGCCCTGCTAGCTGGAGACGGATCTGCAGGTGGAGGGGACAGGCAGGGCGCGAGCCAAACCGTGGGGGTTGGCCGAGACTTTTGGAGGCCCGTGTGCGTTTTGATTTTATCCGAAGTGGTCTTGAGTGCAGGGGATTGACTGGGCGCGCCGAGCCCGAGGTAGCGCATCCGACACGTGCAAAGTGGTGGCCACCGCCAGCGGAGCCGCGGCGCCTGGCGGTGCGGGGCGAGTTAAAGTTCAAGTGTGACCCTCGGCGGGGCGGAGGCGGGAGCTGGCGCGGTGAGGGAGGGGCCGAGGGTGCAGGAAGCGAGCGTCTTTAAAGGGCCAGCACGTCCTGGCCACGGGCAGCATATGGCCCCGCCGCTTCGTAGCGCGGCTGGCACTTCTCTAAGCATGGAAGTGCCCCCAAAGTGCCCCCGTGGTCCAAGGTCTTTAATTAGACTTGGAGAGGCTCTCCTGGGTGACCGGGGTTTGGAATATGTGTATCTTCTCTTTCTCGCTTTGCCATCTCAGGGTTACCGAAAAAGGAGGTGTACAGATTCGAGGTCTAAAGCTGGGGGCTTTGAGACAAGTGTTTTGGGGGTGTCGGAGTGGAGGTGTGCATCAAGGGCAACTGGCAGGGACCTCCTTGGTTCAGGACTGCAGAAGAGGTGCTTCTGGTCCTTTTTGACTTTGAGAGAGACCCAGAGAGACTCATGGTGGGGGCATTCACATCCCTACCCGGTGAAGGCCCCGGGGCCCTCAAGACAATGGGGAGGCTTGCCGGGGATCCATCTGCCTTTTGGCCTCCTGAAACTGACAATGTCTCACTGTCACAGGTGGAAGAATCCATGCTAATATTCTCTGGTTGAGCCAAGCTCCTTCCTCACCCCTCATTCTGATTGTACGACCTAATAAAGATAATCATAGCCTGTATGTATAGCATAGTCTGCTGCGCAGTTGTTACACCATGGTGGTTTTACATACAGTGTCATCCCTGTGGTTATTATGTGTCAAAAAGGTTAACTTATTCACATCTTATTGAATTGAAGTTCCTGGAGAAGGAGCCAGGATTTTATTTTTTCCAAAGTGTGTTTTAGAGTAGTTATTACTTATAACCTCATTATTAGGCATATGTGCAGTTTTACCAAGTGTTTTTTAAAAAGGTAAGTTGGGATTGTCTGCCAAATCCTATTTTACTTAACATTTGAGTTTAAGTACTTACACCATTCTTTTATGTCCTTGGAAATGGATACAACCTATTTAAGATTGCTGGAGTGCCTTTCTTTAAAGATAGAGAAAGGCAAAGTTTTGGGATTATTTTTAGTTTTGCCTCAAATGGTCTTAAATCAGGGTATTCTTAAACTAGGAATATAACTTAACCTTTGAAGATTTAGTGCTTTTTAGAAAGCACTAAATTATCTGAGACCAAATTATCCCCCCAACCATTTTTATTAAGTTCTTTTTCTTATTTTTTCCCAAATGGAATTATAATATTATTTTTTAAAATTTACTTACCAGAGCTAGCAGATCTATTAAGTGTCAGTAAGGATTATGTCCATACTTGGAGGCTCAGAGGCAGTTCCCAGTAGAAACCTAATGGGGCTTTGGGAGGAAGCAGGCTGCCATTCTCAAGTGAGTAAATGTTTCAGGTGTAATCAGAGTCAGTTGGTGCAAGTCAGATTACAGCAAGTGCATTTTCACTTTGAGTAAAAGGGTATTTTAAGAAGAAAAGAAACAAGGCGAAATGTTCTAACTCATAACTAGTTTTCTGGTTAGAGTTTTCATAAAAATGAGTTACTTGTTAAAACCAAGTTTCACTCTTAGATCTGTTGTAAAGACTCATAAAAGGGAGAAATTTTACTATGACTTTTAGTTTAAAAAAATATTCAGTTCTAAAAGGCAAATAACTAAAACTTAACTGTTTTAGGACTAAGGAGAGGCTGCTTTGGAACTAAGTATTTCCTGTTATTTACTACTGGGAATTAGACTAAATCTTTAAGTATAGTTTCTTTTGCTTTACTTCCTGGGGCCTGCCTGAGACTTAGAAAGGGATTTACATAGGACAAAATAATTGAAAAGCTGTTAAAGAGCTCAAAATGTCTAATTCCTTAAATGCTGGTTATATTTTCCGGACGTGCATTTTGCGTTTGTGGGGATGGTACCTTAAATCTACTTAACACTCATTTTAGTTTTGGCCAGAACTGTCATAAGATTATACACAAAGTGGAAGCTAAGACTTTTGGAAAACCCGGGATCTTTTAAACCATGTGCAGTATTTATAAATAGTGAAACTTCATTTCCATGACCAGTCCTACTCACCCCACCCCCCACACACAAAGCTTTCTAGAGCTTGGGAAGTAGTATTTGTGATCTCTGCTTTTTTTTTTTTAAATGGCAGTTTTGAGTTGACTCTTGTTTTTTATTTCGATATTATTTGGAACACTTAATTTAGGTTAAAAAGAATGCTTCAGCACTAAGGTTCCGTATGTTAAAGAAAAATTTTAATTGTTTTACTGTGTGATAGCTCAGATATTCTTTATTTTGAAATGAAGTTTCTTTAATTTGGTCTGTGAACTGAGAGTGCATTTTCTTGCATTTTAAAATTCATATCTGTTTTGTAATTCGGGTTTTTAATCTGTAGGTGAGTAATTTAGCTACAGTGATTCCATGGCAGGAAGATGGCTGCTTTCTTGCTGCAGAGTCACATTTGACTAAAAGAATACCGGTGAGCCTGACTTCACAAGGCTGAAAATGGTGTGGAACTGATGCGAACATGTGTTATGATGAGATATTTTGTTCAGAAATTCTAAAGTAGATGTCAAAGATGAATATCTTGATTGAGACTCATAAGTTTAATTTTGTTTTACCTATGTTTTTGTGGTACATTCTTGGAAAGATGCGTCGAGAAGGTGGCTTCTATTTTTGAATGATACTCAGCTTTTTAAAATAAGTGGCAAACTCTTGAAAATTAGAAAAGTTTCAAAATTCTCATGTAAACTTAAAGGTTAAAGTTTGTGGAGATCTTCCCAAAATTATTGAAAGTCTATTACGTTGGCAGTGGACACAAGAATTGGTTGATATCATATGCTGCACAGGGAATCCCAGCGGACATTTGAAATGAGGATGAGGGTTAGGAATACTCAGTGGTTCGTTAGAATCCCTAATAGGCTGGAAGTGGTTCACCTGTCCTTGTGCTCTAACCTCTTCATCCAAGATCCTAAGCTGTAACTGTGTGACTTTCTAAGAGAGCAGCTGTCTGTATTTGCCTGGAATTTCTTTGGGAAGCCTGAACTGTTTGTATTTTTCTGGAACACTCTGCCCTTGGAAACTACCCAGTACCCTGGCATCATGGGAATTTACTCGGCCATTTTTTAATATTTTTTGTTCTATGTGTGCTGTAACTTTGGGGCTTCCAGGAATCCTCTTGGAAGTCAGTATAAACCCTATGGTGATTGGAGAGAGCAAAGGAGTTTGCAGTTGTGTGGATTATCAGTGAGCACAGAGTGGATTCAGTTGCTTCTCTGCAGTTCAAGATTTGCTTTGGCCTTCATAGGAACAACTTGCAGAGACTTGACTCAACCCTTTGGGATCTCCATTGGGTCAGATAACCACCTTTTTTCAATGCATACAAAAGTCTGAAGTTGGTGTGGTTGTTCTCAGTTGTGAAATAGAGGACCAGATGAACTTGAAAATGTTTATTTTGGTGTCTAAGGGATGCAGGTTTGCAGTCCAATGGTTATGCTATATACAGGTGTACTAAAGTGTGGAAGAATTCTCCTTTTTGCTAATTCCTGACAAGGACTAACAAAACTCAAGTTAGTGGCACAGAAATTCTTTGCAAAGAATACTCCTTGTTATTTGTCATCTTCTAAGGAATATATGAAACATGTTAATACATTTTTGTACATTGGTAATTTCATGTGGTTCAACCTTTTAAAAATACACTTTTTTTTCCACTGGCATTCCAGTTTATTTTGCTCAGCCTTCCTATATTTTATCAACCTGTGGATTAAGCACTCTAAAAACTGAGTTGAGTTTTCCTTGCCACATGGAAGGCATTTGAGCCGGCTTCCTTTTTTATTTTTTTAATTTAATTTAATTTTTTTGGCTTCCTTTTTTAAGTTTCTTTTTCATCCATCCTCATATAGCTTTGATATAAACTAAAGGAAAAAAAAAGTAGTTTTGATGTTAAGCCAGATAAAATTATAATGCTAAATCTGCAGCATCTTTGTAGTTTATTAGTGAGTTTTCACCTTAATGAATTACTTAAGGACATAAACCCAACACATATCCTTTATTTAAGGCCATAATCATTACAGCAAAAAAATACAGTGAAACAGGGCTGCTGTGGTCCCCAAATCTGAGTTTTGATGATTGCCCAAACTGCACTCTTTATGGTCAGCAAATCACTAAGGCTGGAGGTGAGGAGTATCTTAGTCTTCCCCTTTCTATTTGTCCTTGACATACCCCCTCTGTAGCAATATTTTCTTATCT